ATGTAAGTTCACAAGAAATATGGATATATTTTTTAACTTTGCTGCAATTGAAGGATTGTTTCAAGCAAAGTTTGGTGTATTAGCGTTGCATTGTTTGTGTATCTCTTTATGTGCATGATTAAATGTACTAAAATTATTGAATTGTGTAGTAAGATTATTAGGGACAATAAAAATTAGCTTATCAATAAGTTTTAACTAACTCTTCATATCATCATAGTTCTCCTGACTATATGTGTTCAGGACAGATCCATTAATGGGGGAAATGGATCATACCACAGGTTGATAAAATTATTTCTAAATGTCTTTTAAATGCTGATAGTGAATAGGAGTAGGTAGGTTTGCCTATCATCCCCTATTTTTTTGAATAGGTGTAGAAGTTTATCCCTGGTTAACTGCTCAGGATTCGGTTTCCAGTTCCTTCTAAAATCTTTTCCTTTTCTTTCTCCCAGTAGCCACTTGTGTCTTAGTGTCATTTTCACCTTACTTAGAATGAATTGATTAAAAAAAATAGTAGTTTTAACTTTAAATGATACTTTTTCGTTGCTTTTATATTTAAAAAATTCTACTGTCTAAAAATAATGTTTCAACTGTAGAATTATCTGAAAGATATGTATGGAATTTTGCTTTCAGGCTCTACTGAAAAGGAATTCTGAAAGCAATAATATGATTAACCTTTTATTAGTCAGAGAATTGCAGCCATGTTTCTGATACATTTTTTAATTTTTTTTACTTAATGTCAAAATATTCAGAGTAGGTTATATATAACAGAATAATTTTAGATGGATAAAAAAAGCTAAAAATTTTTGCTTTGTTTTGAAATTTTTATGTAAATCTCTCTTTTACTATCAATAGAAAAAATATGATAGTGCAATGAAATTTTATTTTTTGAAAATAAAATGTTTAGGTTGGAAAAAAAACTGTAAATTAAATTGAATTAGTTGCTCATATTAAAATTACACTTTTGTTTGGCCTATTCTTCCTGAGGGATTTATTTTCACAGTATCTTATTTGTTTGGTAAAATACAAGATCAGATTCAGACAGTTATCTACACTATTTACATGCAGACTATTGTCCTTATCTTTGTTGTTTTTATCTCAACATTTTGGCTGTTGTGCCCTCTGGCCTGTATCAGATGTATGTTGATCCAGATAACCTAGAGGATGAAGGCTGGAGGGCACAATGACTGAAACTTTATGATAACAACAACAAAGATGAGGACAATAGTCTGTAATGTAAATAGTGTAAATAATGATAACTCCTCATCCCAGAAATTCAGAGAGAAGGCAGTCAGGTGATAATAACAAAGATGAAGAGCATAGTCCACATGTAAACAGTGTAAATACGGATAACTCCTCATCCCTTAAATTCAAACACAAGGCAGTCCAGTGATAATAACAACAAAGATGAAGACAATAGCATATATGCAAATAGTGTAAGTATTGATAACTCCCAGAAATTCAGCCAATAATAATAAAAAAAAACGTATTAAGTTATTATTTCTTAAATAAAATATTTGAAATGTGGATTTACTTGAGACATTTGCTACATTTGATAGTATATAAAATCCTCCACACATGTACATTTAATATTACAATATTATAGAGTTAGGTGAAATACAAATACTGGTTGTCAATGGTGCTTAGATAAATATTAACTTACCATATAACTCAACTTTGCATATATAACCCAATCATTTTTTGTGAAAAAGGCCTTAAATGATGTCAAATAACTTAAATGGAAGAAATATCCAATTTGACATTTATTCCAAAATTGATAATTTTTCAAATACGCAAATTGTTTAAAAAATTGTCTATTAACATTTTTACCATAAAAACCTATATGATAAAACAAGAGGTGATTTTCTGTCCATCACACACTGTCTGCATGTGACTTTGCATGTATGTATGTAATGTATATATGTATAACTGTGATGTGCATGAGTAACTTACATGTGCTTGTGCCATTTAATGTACACACAAGCACACACGTATGCACACGCTTTGCATTTGAAATAAGGCATTAGAATAATACATCCCTTTACTACTCAGTTTGGACAACCCTTATGCTGAACTGAGTAATACAGTTATAAAGTTGGAGAAGAGAAAAAAAATATTAATTTAAAAAAAAATGTGATGATTCTATGATTTTTATTGAATTTTTTTTCAGAAATTATTCAATAATAAACAGAATTATTTAAAACAAATTTTTAAAAAACTTTTATAGAAATATTTTTATGTATGTCACTGAATTAAAATATACATGTACACATGCAAACGTATGTACACACACAATTTGAAAGAAATTGAAATGGACATCTGATACTGTCAGTGAAAGGACGGGTACTAAACTAGTGTATATAAAAACTAGATTAGGTATGAAGAAAAACTGATTGTTTATCTTTGTGATTCCATGCCTCTATGCACCATGCCCCTTCAGAATGTAGGCAATCATGGCTCTCTACAATTTCCTGTTTTTGTAGCTCTTAGTAAATTTTGTCTTTTTCCTATTTCTCCTACACCCTATTTTGCTATCTATTTACACATGTTCATTAGGTAGATTATGCATTGTTTATCTTTATTCCTCTTGACTTCAATATATCCTGTAAGTAATACGTTTTCTAAGTCCTCTTTCTTTATTATGTACCCTAGAAATTTCAACTTTCTCTTTCTAATATTAAGTATAAGAGTACTTTTTGTTTCCATTTTCTCTAAAACTTCATCATTGCTCACATGTTCAATTAATGGTATTCTCAGCATCCTTCTGTAGAACCACATTTCTGTTGCTTCAAGTTTTTTCTTCATCTGTGAGGAGATTGTCCAGCTTCACTGCCATATAGAAGGACTGATATTACATAACAGTTCAGTACTCTTTTCTTTTTGTTTTTAACAAAATTTTACTGTTAATACTTTCTTTAGATTTTCAAAGACATCTTTTGTTATCTTAATGCGCTTCAGATTTTGGTGATACACTTTCCGTCTTCTGTTAAAACACTTCCCAGATATTTAAATTTTTGTACTTGTTTGATTTTGGTATCACCAATTTGTAATTTGCATGTTGGGTTGTTCCATTTACTGACAACCATTGTCTTCTTGCAATTGAAGTTTTGGCATTTCTTCTTGCTTTCCTTCACTACCTTCTGTAGTTCTTGTAGTTTCCTTTTTGTATGATTACATACTTAAAAGAAAAAATATTGTATTTATCAACTAATAAAATAAAAATACAAAAAATACCTGATATTTTATATTTATAGAAAAATTAGGGTAAAAGACAAATGTTAAACTTAAAATACTTATATATAAAACATTAAGTTTAGTCATAAGTAATTTCTGTTTTAGGGAACCAAATGTAATGACAAATGTGTCATCCTAACTACTAATCATACATGGTAGTTAAGAACAGTGACATATCTTGGTTTTTGCTTGGTAGTGGCAGTGTACAAAGTGGATTAAAGAATAAATGGAGACATTTAAAAAAGTAAGTTGTTTTTATAGTCAAGGAGTCATAATTGACTGGCAAGTATGAAATTGGTTTACAAAGTTTCATTCTAAAGAAATATCATTAGAAGATAAACCCAACCAAGTGTGTTCATTGGACTTTGATAATGAAGCTCTAAAGCCATTAAAATCCAAAGAAGAATCAGTAATATTGTTGGTCCTGATCTGACATCTCTGCTTGAGTCAATTTCCCACCACTGTAAAATTACCTCCCTGTGCCTTTTCTATAAATATTTTCATGGTAATTGTTCAGATGAGATCTTTGCTATGGTACACAGACTTTATGAATTTAAGCACAGTACTAGACTGGCAACAAGTTCTCATCAATGTACAGTTGAGTTGGCTAAATGTAACCATAAATAACAGTTGCTCTTCTTGCACTTCTCACTTGTGGAACTCTCTTTCAACTCCATGCTTTCCAGTCAACTTTGATCTTCAAAAATTTAAATGCAATGTCAATTGCTATCTGCTGTCGTCCTGATAACTCTTTCTTTATTTCTTCTTCTTAGTAATGTTTCTGTTTTTAATTCCTCCACACCTAGTAATTCCTTGTGTCTCAGTGGCTTTAATGCCTTGCTAGGGGTGAACATGCTTAAAAAAAATGAAATAAAATCCACAACAAAGTACTTAGGAAAGATGTTAAATACATTACAATCTATCATATGCTGACACTTATTAAAGATAGAGAAAATCAGCAATGTGGGTACTTGAGTTCCACATGCTTTCAGCAAAAGGAACAAATTGGATCATTGATAAATAAAAATGGAAATTATTTATGACTCAACCTTATATTTACATGAGACATTAGAAAGTAATAGTGGTTTTTGTTCATATCAATCTCCCTAACAAATACTCTCCTAATGATTGCTTTTAAGAAAAATTATTCTCTGAATTCTTTGAATTTCAGTTTTAAGTCTTTAATTATTAGTTTTTGCTTTCTAAAAATCTTTTTTGCCATAAGAATATGTTTATTGTTGCATAAATATAAAAAATAGTCTATGCATGGCTTGTAGTATCATATATTTTAAATTATATTCGAGTATAAATGTTTATTACTATTTTTTAAAATATCCATCCTAAGCAAGGCAATAAGGTCACAAAGACACGAGGGGTTACTTAATGTAAAAGAATATGAGAAAAAGAAAAAACATTATAAGGAGAAAGAACAATAAAAGAACAGGAATTAAGAAAATATGATAATGACTGACATTGCATTTAAATTTGGGAAGCAAAAAGCTGGAATAATTCCACAAGCAAGGAGTGCGAGAGAAGCAAGTGTTGGCATAGAATGTACAGTTATATCTAGTCATTTCAACTGCAAAATGAGAAGACCTTGGTACCAATTTAATAACATTATCTACAGTTTATTCTGTTGCTAAATCTCATTCATTACTTCCATTTATTATTTTATTTGCTAACTAATCTTATATCAATGAAAGACACAAACATTATGTAATTAAATGAATAAATGTTTATTTATTTATTTTTTTTCAAATATTTTTCAGGATCGCTCATGATATCAGCTTGGACAGTTTCCCTGATGACGATCCAGATGTGGAATTTGACTTGAGTCCAAAAGAACTAGAATTCTATTCTCTGACTCAAAGCAAAGAAAATAAATACGATGTTGCTGAGAAAGATCATGAAAAATCAGAGTATGAGGACATTACCAAAAAAATTGGAAACCTAACTCAGAAACTTCAAAAACTAGACTATGAATCCTCAGATACTGAGATTGTCCTCAGAAAGAATGAAATAAACAAGCAATTGCACAGTAACATTGATAATGGAAATGGTACTCCAAGATTAGATAAAAATTGTTTCACACAGGTAAGATAGAAAATTTAATATTTCTTTTTCTTCAATTTTAATTTATTTATTTAAAGTTCACTCGGTACAAGGCCAGTGAGCCACTCGAGGTAGAGGGTTACATAGTAAGAGGCAGAGTTTATGTGGAGAAGATAACAGTTAACCTTAGACTTGAACAGTTTAAGATTGTAGCAATTGTGTACCCATCCTCTTGGGAGTTGGTTCCATGCAGTAGCAATTCATGAGAAGAAGCTACTCAAGTTGAACTAACGTCTCACCACTAGAATATGAAGGGAATGTGGGTGGTTTGCTACAATGTGCATTGCATGGTGGGTCTTAGCTGTGAAGGTTAGAATTGGTGAAACTAAGGAATGTAGTCCATCTGAGCACTTTCTATAAGAATAGCAATAGAGCAGTGACAGGCTTGTAATGTTTCTTTAGGAGAAAGGAGTTGCAAGGTGAAAAATAACTTGTTACCCACAAGGATACAGAGGCACTTTTAGACTCTATCAAGACTGGAAATTGAAGACTGCCCATATATAGCTACACTACTCCATTTTTGGCTTGATCTGTCTCTTGTAAAGGTAGAGGATAGCAGTACAGGGAACTGACCATTTTTCCAGAATCTTTAGTGATGGATCATATGTATGAGGTTTGGGTGGAGTTTAAGTCCCAATGGCTGCTCACAGCATGAGGTCTCCCTGAAGGAACATTCATTTATCATGACTGGTGATAGTCCATGATCTGATCGTTGATGATGGAATATAATTAGTTTGGTTTTTACAGCCCATTTCCCCCCACTAAAATGTTAGAGCTTGGTCAAAGAAGAGCTCAGCTGTCAATCTCTGGTCATCAAGAGTTTTGAAGGTATAGTCATATACCTTTGAATCATGCTTCCATTTTTTGTTTATTTCTCCTTTCTCTAGCTTCCACCAATGAGAAACCATCTTCATTATTAATACTATCTTTAACTTTATCAATGATTGTAAGATACAAGTGAGGGTATGACTGATATTAATTTCACTGTTTAATAAAATAAAAAATCAGGGATAGCAATTCAAATACATGTACCCACTAAAAATAATGTTTATAATAAGAAGAAATAATGTCAGATAAAAAATCCTTTCAAAAAATTACTGTTTATGTTTCAGGTACAAAACTGAAGCCAGCAGATATAGTTTTGCAGAATTAACAGAATAGTCTTTTGTTAATAGTTTTATTCAAACCTTGCCCTGTCAGGCTGGCTCTGTGGCTGAACTGGTAGAGGCACACTTTGTCTTAAAAGTAGCTTCCCTGATGGAAAAATGGGTTCAATTCCTATCAGAGACATCATTTTTCTTTAGTAGGACTTCTTAATTGTTATTAATTTCACTTTTTAATTAAATAAAAATCAGATAACAACACCAACATATGTACCCACTAAAAATAATGTTTATTATAATAAGAAAAATGAGAATATGTACATTTTTCTTGCCTACGGGTTTATAAAAGGAAACAAAAAAAATTTATGAACATATCAGTAAATAAAAGAGCAAATCAGGTACACAATCTCTTAAAAATACTCTTGGGACCAGATACTTTTTGGGAATTTAAAATTTAGGAGGTTTCACAATTATGGTATAGGTACTGTATATAAGGTAGAGGAATCAGCAGCTTTTTTAGCATTTTTGAAATCTTTAAAATAAAAAGAAATCACCAAAAAAATTTAAAAAATGAGAAGCAGAGCCTCATCTGTCTAGTAGGAGCACCTTATTGTATGGTATGGATTGAGCCAATTGTAATGGTAATATTAGCTGTTTCTTTATAAGGAAACATTTAGCATTCATTGATTGAGCAGTCAGTGCTGCTGTTTTATAAAAATCCTTCTCTTAAAACAATTTTTCAAGAAAATCAATTACTCAAATCCAGTAGCTGTTAATGCTCTTTCAGTATTGATGAGGGCTTCCTTCTTTACATTTTGTTTGGGGTAAAGTTTCAAGAGGTGGGTCACATCCTGTTTGGTGCTAAACATAAACTTTGGACAATGGTTTACAGAGCATTTCATTTTCTAGAATTTTCAGATTGTGCACATAAAGAAGTTGATATCTTTAATATTGAAAGAACATTTGGAATAGCAAAAAATGTTTTAATACATTGAAATCTACAAAATAAGATAAAATTAATAAGTATTTTGAGATTCTTGATAAAATACAAAGAAGAATCTGCAATGTTATTTGGTCCTAACCTAGCATTTCAGCTTCAGTTACTTTCCTACTGCCATAACATAATTTCCCTGGGTAGCTTCTATAAATATTTTTATGGTAATTATTCTGATGAGCTTTCCTTTTTGGTATTTAGACTTTATAAATTTAATCACAGTGGCAAAGTCTCATCATTTTAAAATTGAAATGGTTAAATATAACTGTAAGTTCTTGGTGATCAGTTTCTTCTCTTTCACGTCTCACTTGTGGAACTCTCTTCTGGCTTCTTGTTTAACTTTAAATGTTCAAAAATTTAAATACAATGTCAATCATTATCTTCTATCTTAATTCCTGTTCTTTTACTGTTCTCTCTCCTTAATGTTTTCTTTTTTTCTCATTCTTTCACACTCAGTAATCCCTTGAATCTTAGTGGTTTTATTGCCTTACTTGGTGTGAAATGATTAAAAAAGTAATGCAGACTCTTGCTAAGACAAACATCTGTTTCATAAAAATTGTTTAGATTGAATAAATTAACTTATTTGGGTCTTTATGCATACAGTTACTAAATATAAACCACTTAATCATACAAATTGTTAAAAAACTAAAATAATTTATACATTTTTCTTTTTTTTAGATATTCTTTAACTTATATATATATATATATATATATATATATATATATATATAAAGTTTGATATCTTAAAATAAAACAATTTTACTTTTGTAGACAAATTTATATTTTTTAATTAAACATTTTCAATTTATTTAAATTTATATACCTACATGTGCCAAATGTAATGGTATAGGTGCCAAGTCTCATGCAGGACCCCTTCTACCCTGGTAAAGTACAGTAACTTGAGGTGACTTCAATTCTACAAGTGGTCAGAAAATCTTTAGAGAGATATTGAGTTGTATTGTCTTGATTGCTGCCTGCAGCTCTTCGATATTTGTAGGATCATAGGAACTTCTGTGCCAATAAACCTCTTGACTACATTTTATAAATTCTCACTTGGGCTCATGATGGAAGTATTTTCAAAATGCTTCTCACACCAATTCTGGATAACTTGTGTCTGATGACATGGTGTATTATCCTGTTGGAATAACCCATCATTGTTGGAGTCTATGAATACGTGCAAATAGTCACAAAGCTGTGCAATGAGTGGCCATTGGTCAATCATGTGTTTACCCACCCTTATGGAAACACTACCTTCGCCAACCTGCATGGTACCTTGTTGAACAAAAAAAAAACTATCAAAATATAGAAATAATAAGACAATTGTGAAGAATATTTATAAAAAATCTTATGAGAGAAGGACTGCTTTGTTTGTAAGTGAGATTTATATTAAAGAATGTGTACTGACATGCCAAGAGTCATGGGATAAGTGTCTAGTATTGTGTATATACCCTTTAGTTGAACAAAGTGGCAATGGTTTTATATGTGGTGGGAAGAGCTCAAAATATTGAACCATGCTATTTCAATAGCTGTCCATTGCCCCCTGATCTTTCTTTGTTTTACAGGTTTTCTCGACAATCTGAAAATTTACAGTGTCTCCAGATAAATTCTTGAACTGATCCAGTCTTTCCTATCAGATCGTGAAATGAAAGTTATCCTGAATGGTCTGTTGTTTAGATCCTTTTGTACTAATGTGTGTGTCCCCCAGAGCTACATCCTTGGTCCCACTTTGCTTTTAATTTTCATTAATGACCTTCCTGATGGCATCTACACTGATGACACAACTATTTACTCTTGTCTTGACAGTAAGTCTGATCAGTTTGATAAGGTCAAAATGGCAGCTAATGTCCAAAACAACCCTAAGTCTGTTGTTAATTAGGGCAACAGATGGCTTGTTAATTTTAATGCTTCCAAAACTAAACTACTCTCCATTAATCATCTGAGAGACCCTTCCTTACCTTCTATAAGCTCGGCCCTACCTTCTATAAGCTCGGCTGATGCTAAACTCTAGGAAAGTAACTCGTTGTGCCCTCTTAACATGAAGTGGAAAGATTATATTGAATCCATTGTTAAGTCTGCTGCTAGGAAAGTTGGTTCTGTGTGTCTTGTGAGGCAATTTTTCTTTCCTACATATCTATAAGTATACCATTCATGCTTAGAATATTGCTACCACATATGGTCTGGTCTTCCTGTCCATTTATCTAGAACATCTTGATAAAATCCAAAGAAGAATTAGTAATATTATTGGTCTTGATTTGGCATCTTGGCTTCAGTCACTTTCTCACTACCATAATGTTGCCTCCATGTTCCTTTTCTATAAATACTTTCACAGTAATTGTGTGGACAAGCTCTTCATATTTTAAATTTAATCATAGTACTAGATTGGCATCAAGATCTCATCAATTTACAGTTGAATTAGCTAGATGTTACTGTAAATTCTATGCTAACTGTTTCTTTTCTCACACTTTTGGCTTGTGGAACTCGTTTCCAGCTCCAAGCTTTCTAGTCAACTTTAATCTTCAAAAATTTAAATGCAGTGTCAATCACTATCTACTGTCCTCCTTATTACTCTTTTTGTTCTTGCTCTTTAGTAATATTTCTGTTTTGAATTTCTTCCATGCCCAATAACCACTTGTGTCTTAGTAGCTTTTCTGCCTTGCATGTGGTGAACTCAATTAAAAAAAATATCCCGGAGACTATGATTTTTACCCTCAGTTTAAATATTTGAATAATATAGTATAATTTTTTAGTCAAGAAGAAAGTTAATCGAGTATCACTGATTAGAAAAAATTTTGATTTAAGCTGTCCCTTTATGCATTGATAATATTCATACTTTTTATAAAATTCTTTTGTAACAGTTATCATCGGTGAAGGCTGTGAATTGTGTTAACAACAAAGAATGGCCTACAAATAATCAGAGCATTGGAAATGAGCTAAAACCTCCTCGGCGACCACGAAAATTACCTGAAACTCCAAAAACCAAAAGTAAATGTAAGTAAAGTTTGTCTATGTTTACTATTATGTCTTGTCAGTTGTAATTGCATAGTAATTTATTTCTTTGTTCAAACTTGAAATTCCTGTAGTTGGCTGCCTCCATACATTGTGTTTTTCTAGTTCTGTTTTTGCATGAAATCAACTCTTCTTCTAAACTATTGCTTCATTGATTTATATATTTTGGTGAGAATAGTTCTATTTAAAACAGCTATTTAACAATTTGCTATAACCTAATTATATACCTCAATAAATGGAAAAGGTAGGAAAAATGTAAATAGTTAAATAATAAATAAGTTTTCTCCATCAATATTGATTATATTCCATTTCTGGCAACTGGAATCTGTACATCTTATTTATATTTAAAAAAAATTTTCATTGGTTATTTAAATTCACCTCATGTTAATTAGCTTTAGAAAAATTCCATGAAACTTAGGCTGTGTGGGTAGTGTATTGTTAGCAGCTTGGAATGGGAATTAGATTGCTGAGTTCAAATTTTAGTTGGGTTTGTTATATTCACTTACATGCAAATACTCTTGAGAAAGACATGAAGTCATCTCCTCCCACCCAGCTATGGATTAATTATTAGGACTTGTATTTGGAAATGCAATATTTACTCACAAAAAATAAAAAATTGTTCTTACAATCCAAAATATGCTTTGGATTGAAATAACACACAAATGGTTAAACCATAAAAACAAATAAATCAATCAACCATGAAACTTACTAATGTAAATGTTATCGACTAATAAATTTTATCTGAAACTGTAAAATGATTTTATTATTTGACCTTGTTAATATTTATATTATGTAGATATTGAAAAATAGTAAACTACTTATGTTATTAAAACTAGACAAGATAAAATCTATTTATTGTAGTTAATATAAAAACATGAATGAAAAATATAAAATGTTACTTATAATTTATGTCAGAACTTTTTTGATGAGGAACACAAATGCAATACTAAACAAGGTAAGAGTAGAGGAACATCAAAAGTAGTAGTTATGGGAGAAACGTTGAAATCAGATCTAGCTGATCATATATAGTTGGAAAACGGTGGTCACCAACCCATATAGAATGAAGTCAAGATAATAGACAAAAAATAAGTTGATTGATAAAAATCTGTGCACATGTCAGACTCTGACAACCTCCTCAGTAGACCTAGCAAAGTGATGAATGCCATTTGGAGGCCTTTGATTAAGAGAGAAAGGGGTGTCCTAGAGACACATTACATAGTGGATTAAAGCATTAGTTGAAGCATATCTGGTTTCCTGGCAGTCATGAGTTCAATTTCTGCATTAGATAACGTGAAAGGTTATACACCCTACTTTCAGTAAAAGAAAAAGACAAACAATTTAAAAGCAAATAGACTGGAGAGTATATGAAATGCCTTCTAAGCATAGAAAGTAGAATGAGAATATTTCCCTCATGGATTGAGTAAAGGTTTGGGTTCAAAATTCTGACAAGGTTACTGAGTATGACAGACACCTAAAGAAAGCCAGAGTGTACAATGATCAAAATGTTGTGAGTATAACAACTAAGATGAACATACTAGTCTAAATAGAAAGGCTTATAATACTGATTTTTAAAAATTATTTCACCTCAAGGTAGGCAGTAAAGCCACTAAGACACAAGGGGGTTACTGAGTGTGAAAAAATGAGAAAATCAAAAACATTGTTAAGGAGCTATTGTTGATTTGAAGTAATATTTCAAGTTCAAAGCAAGACGAACTGTTTAATAGTCAAACTACAATAAAATCTAAGTTCAAAGGAAGACAAACTGTTTGATAATCAAAACACTGTATAATCCAAGGGGGATGCAGAAGGAAATGTTGCAATCAAGAATCATAGTCCAGTATCAAGAAATCCCAGCATACATCTCTCTGCTATCAATTCACTGCCCATTCCAAAAAAACTGCATTCTAAAAAAACATGCTCTTCATTTATATCAGTTACATGCTCATGCATGCAAATCGCCAACAGTTTTTTTTTTAGTCTTTGTCTCGCAATGTGCATCATGATGGAATTACAAATGTCGACCATGACCAGCCTTTGGTTTCAATTCACTACAGGAGCAAAAACAATAAAAAAGGAATCAAAAAGACAGAAGGATAATGGTGGACATTGCATTTAAATTTTTGAAGATCAGTGTTGGCTGGAAAGCAATCTGGAAGAGAGTTCCACAGGTGAGAAGTATGAGAGAAGAAACTGTTAGCATAGCACTTACAGTTACATCTAGCCAAATTTGTGAAACCTTGTTGCCAATCTAGTACTGCACTTAAATTCATAAAGTCAAGGTACCATAGAGGAAAGTTCATCAGAACAATTACCATGGAAGTATTTATAGAAAAGGCACATGGAAGCTACCTTAAAGTGGTGGGAAAGTGACTGAAGCCAAGATGCCAGGTCATGACCAATAACATTGTGAAATCTTTGTTGGATTTTATCAAGATCTAATTATCTAAATATGTAGCAGGAGCATATGTGGCAGCAATATTCAAAGCATGGATAGTAGACTTAAAAATATGCAAGACTGATTCTGGAGAGAAAAATTGTCTAGCATGACACAATGAATTAAATTTCCTCGCAGCAAACAAGAATTTTCAAATTCTACTGTATTAATTAGTACTATAAATTATATTTTCCTTCAAGAATTTAACATTAGCTTTTAAACAATAATTAAAATACAAAATAAATACTACCATCTTCCAAAACCCTTCCTGTTCAGCATACTATCCAGCAAAGAAAGGGGACACTGCAGAAAAGATTCTCTCAAATAAACTCTGATGTACAAACTACAAGAAGGATTGCTAACAGAGAGATATGGTGACACAAGGTCTTTCAGGAAACCTCTTTTTGATGCAAATCACACAGTAAACACATAAGAGAGGTGACAGTGCTGTAAAACCAGAGCCCCCTATGGTTGCTAGACATTCTCCTGTAACTACTTAAAAGGCTTTTGGAAGACCTACAACAGATTTGAAAATCCCTCTTAAATCTTTATTCATGAAGTCATGATGATTATGATGATAAATATATTTTTTTGAAACATGAGAACCAGAAAAGAGGTAGCTTCTTCAGTAATAGTTAAAAATGGGCAACTATATTTTGGGTATGAAATATTTATGGTATAAGTGTTTTGGTATTATTCAGTCACAAATAAATAGCCTCTGATCCTGCAAACTTCCACTGTTTTTCAGACGGGTTCAGTCTTTCTTCTTCTTCTTCTTTTTATTTGAGTGTTGCCTTCTCATTAGTTGAGAGAAAAGTATAGAAAGAGAAGTTTAGAGAGAGAAAGAAAGTGCTAAGGGTTTTAAAAGAAAGTGCAAATGACTTATTTTAATTTGAATGCTTTTTATTTTTGCTTATATATTTTGTTTATATATTTTATTTTTATTGGGACTCACTACATACTAACCACATTCTATAGTTACACAAAATGAAGCATTATTATATGATTTGCTATTTGAACCATCATGTTCATTTTGGTTGTCCTGCTCACAATTTTTCACCCATCATGCTCTCCAACCTTTTTCAAGTGTCTTTCTTTGTACAGATATATGATCAATTGGATTAAAGCATTTGTTAAAACATATCAGGTTCTCAGGCAGTTCTGAGTTAAATTGTTGGATCTGGTAATGTAAAAAGTCACATGCCCTGGTTCAGTGAAAGAAACAGACAAGCAACCAAAAGTGAATGTGACGAGTAATATAAATATAACTGATATAAAATATTCCTTAAACATGGAAAGCAGAATGAGAACAATCTACCTCCTGTAGATTTAATTGGTTTGAAATTCTGAGAAGATTGCCAAATATGAATGCAGATACTTAAAGGAGTTTGGAAAGTACAATGGCTGTAATATTGTCAGCATGACATTGAAGATGAGCATGCTGGGCTGAATAACAACGTTTGTAATAATGATAATTCCTCATCTGAAAACTTCTGACAAAGATTTTGAAGACTAGCTCTTGTATCATCAATTTAAAAATTAATAGTTCAATAGGTATTTTTATAAACTGTGCAATAATATGAGTATGAATACTTTATTCTTTAAAATTATATTCATATATTATTTGGTTTGTTGATGGCCTCAGAGAACAAATCTCTTACTATAATGATGGTATTTATCAATTCACCCACAGGAATTGAATGTGGCACAAGGCCTTTTTAATGTGGGTATGTCTGAGCCCGTAGGCCCAGCCAAAAATAAAACCCATCTAAACCCGTCCAAGCGGGCTAGTTCCGTCAACCTCCCCCAACGAAACCCTACCCTTCGGCGGAGCCTCGTCAGGGTTCCTCTCTGCAAGCAGAGAGTTCGACAGACACCCAGCTCGGCAGCTCACAAAGCGCAGATACTACACTTTGATCCTAGCCACCGGGCCGAGCGGGTATTCTTTTTTTAGATACTTACTATAATGATGAATTCAACATTTTCAAACACCCTTCAATTTAAGACTTTTCACTAGAAAGTTTCAACTTAGCATCTGATATAAAAATGATGTTTATTAACAAATTTTTACAAGAGAAAATATTTTTTATAATCCATTTCTAGTAAAGTTCATATCAGGATCAATAATCTTACGCAGCATGTTATTGAAGTCTCAACATTCCTCATGGGAATTTATGCATTAATATTTCTGATATTATCTAACTCATTAAAAAAGGTTGTTCATCTATTCTAACTTGTTCGGCAGTGTGGAAATTGATGTTTCTATCAGAACATGTATGTATGAATATTACTTCTGGTATTTTATTGATATTGCTAATTCTAGCAGAAGGATCCCAGCGCAAAGGAAAATTTTTAATGATTGGGCTTGTATAGAAGCAAAAGAACACAATTCTTTGTTATGTAAGAGACAACAAAACAATTTTGTTTGCTGTATTTGTATATTTTAATACAGAGGAGGGAATAAATGATGCTTGACATTGAATGATCCATATAATTGTAGATTTCTGTCTGAATTTCTAGGATGAGGAGATATCATTATTAA